GCGGCGGCCGGGGCCAGTCCCGGGGCTGGGGCGCGGCGGGTGTTGGAGGCGGCCGGCGGCCCCGGAGCGCGCTGGGCGGCGGAGGCGGCGGCCCCTCGGGCTGACTGCGCTGGATGCGGCGCCGCGACCCCCGCCCAGCCCCTGCTTCCCGCGTCTCTCCGCGCCCGCCCGCCGGGGAACCTCAACCCAAGTCCGCTGCTGCTGTCCGTGACGCCTCCGCAGCCCGCCGCTCATTGGCCTAGGCCTCCTTGATTGACGCCGCCGCACTGCTCCTCATTGGTCTTCCAAAACCCTCTCGCATCCCCATAGGCTCCTGGGCCAATGACGCGTGCCGCAGACCCCTAGCCACTCACAGGCTCGTGAGGCCACAGCTAGGCGGGCGCACGTTTCTGATTGGTAGAGGCGCCCGACAAGGACAGGGACTTGTTCTGCGAGGTCGCCGATTGGTTGAAGCACGCGGCGCGGCCAGCCCCCCGCAGAACGTTCAGAATGTTCAGTGTCTATCCCGGGGTGAGAGGGCGGGCCGGAGGCGCAGTCTGCGGTCCCGTCGGGCGGGGTGGCAGAGGCTGGCTGGCGCTCCGCGCTCCGAGGCCCAGGAGGAGGAGGCGGTCCCGGCGGGTGCCCGGCCGCCCCTAGAGCGCCGCAGTCTCCCGCCCCCTCCCAGTGCGGCAGCGGCGGCCGGCCAGGGAGGTTGACGCCACTGCCCTCCCGGCACAGCCGCTGTCCACCTGCCAGCGGGGGAGGAGCGTGGCCAGCGCGGGGTCAGAGGTCGCCGGGCCACCAAGCAGCGTTGTGAACAACGCTCAGCGCCGGTCAGCCGCGGCCGGACACCTCGGGGTCCGGGCTGGATTCCCGAGCCACAATCGGGATACAAGAGGATGCTGGGCCCGGGAGGGCTGGGAGAGGGGCCCTCGCCCCCGCCCCCATGGCGGGCACTAGCCTTGGGTTGGCGCCGGGGAAGGAGCGCAACGGTTCAGTGCATCTCTTAGCAGCGCTCCTGTCATGCAGGTAGTCGTCACCGCTCCCATCAGACTAGGAGCCCTGCCCGGAATTGCCCCCGGTCCTCTGGACCAGACCTGCCTTACAGGGGCAGAGAGGCGCGACTCCTCTCCTTGAGGGCGCTCCCCACAAGCAGAACCTGGGAGCTGACATTGGCACCAGCTCACTCTTTACTGGGGAGGGGACTGTCTAATGCACAGTTGGGTGCTTAGTACTCCAAGCCTCCTCCTACTGGTTGCCCCCAGCACCTCCATCTTCCCGCTGGCTGTGGCAACCAAAATTGTCTCTAGACGGTGCCAAATGTATTTTGGGGGGTGGGCAGTCACTGCCTTACCCCTAGAGGAGCCCATTCAAGCAGAAGGGGCCCCACGCAGGAGGTGCTCAGAGAAGCCGGCCATCCCCTCCTCCTCACGGAATTGCACAGCCCACACTACCCAGTAGCTATTTGCACTGTCTCCAGGTTGCCCACAGTGCAGTGATGGAGACTCGGGGCTTTTTGAGACACGGGGATGTGGCCCACCGGCCAAGCTGTACTGACTTTGGCTGGGGAGCTCCGGTCAGCTAAGTGAAAGCTAGTAAGTGTGGCTGTGTGTGTGTGTACTTCGATCAAGATATTATTCAGGGCCGGGGATTTAGCTCAATGGTTCTCCCACCTGCCCCGAAAACGTAAGGACCCGAGTTCCGTCCCCGGTACCAAAAAAAGAAAAAAAATTCTCTTCCTGTGGGTCACGGTCAAAGCCTGAAAAATCAGTGGGTATGCTATCTGCAGAACAGCTGGTTTAACTTCTGACAAAAGCCCTTCCCCAACCCTCAGCCTGGTATACAGCTGTACAACCCATGGAGACTGGATCACGGTACCAGTGAGGGGAGAAGGGCCAGCCACCCCTCAGGATGTGGTGAGGAGACAAAATGCCTCAGCCCACCTGAGACAAAAGCAGAAACAGGCAGTCTAGACGAAGTGCTTTTTATTTTTAAACCAACACTTTTAATATAAAAACACTTTAATATATAAACTAGTCACAACAGCTTCCATGTAGCAGAGGCAACCAAGATGCAGAGGTGGGGGGGGGCATACTGAGGGAAGGTTTTTGGGGTGCCAGATACTTCCCATGCCCAAAACCACTCTGTGGCCTCAGAGAGCAGTGGTCTGGGAATGGCAGGTGCCTCCCATGAGCCAGCTTCTCCCCAGGGCAGCCATTGTCTCAACACCCTAGGCAGTTTTCTAGGGGCTGCTGATTGGAAAGACCTAATGCTCCTCCTGGGAGGGCAGATTGTATCGGAGTCTGCCTCCTAACCAGATGCCTCACCTGTGACACCAGGAAGCCAGGGTATACCACTCAGATATTCAGGAAGGGACAGGAACGAGGGCCTTGCCAGGCTTCAACCAAAAATGCCTCAAGGCAGGGAGATGTAGGAAAAAAGTCTGGGTCCATGGCACTCATGGCAGGAGGAACTGATGGCACATGTGGAGAAGTGACACACGTCAGAGAGAATGAACAACCCAAGGGCCTGCTTCTTAGTGGAACTGAGATGATCTTGGGGGCTGGGCAGGGAGAGACTTGCTCATTCCCCGGGTGCATGTTTGAGAGCCTGAAGCAGTTGGTGGCCCTGAAGTCCTGGGCATGCCCCACACAGCTCTGCGAGGCCCGGGGACCCTATTAGATGCAGTCCATTGAGTTCTCAGGAAGGAGGCTGGGGATACAACCCTGGAGGACCAGGCCCTTGACTGGTGTGTAGCTGAGCGGGAGGCCACAGCCCAGTGTGGGATCCTGATTCTCAATGGCCTCCAGCCTGTCTTCCTGGTTGTCCCAGTTGATATGGAAGCGGGTCACACGGGGGTTTGAGGCCAAGATGTTCCGCTGGAGCTGGGACAGAAGAGCAATGTCAGTCCTTGTCACTGCCCTGTCATTACACCTGTAGAACCAGGATACCAAGTCCCTGCCTCAAGCCCAGAAAGGGCAAAAGTTGCTTATCCTGTCCTTAACCATGTGCACAACTCCAGGGACTGCTGTGCACCAGGGCCAGGAGCAGGGCAGCCTGGTCCTGACTCCCTAGGGGCCTATATGAGAAGCAAAGACTAATATTCTCTCCCCTGACACTATGGAAACACAGCATGATTTGAAAATGGCTTCCACTCTAATAGCTCACCCTCCCACTGCACAGGAATCGCCATCCTAGGCAGGAAGTGTGCATGAGGCAACCCACCTGGGAGAAGTCGGGTGTCAGGGGTGGGTTTTCCCGCAATTCTGGGTTTGGGTACTCATTGTTGACATAGTAGCCCACACGGATGAACTCCTGTCCACGGTAGGTGCAGGTGATGAGGACCACAGTCACACCTACGGCATCCGTCTCCGGGATGAGGCTTGGGTTGGGTGCGTCGGCCTGGAGGAGACACATCTGGGGCCTTAGCTATGATCATCAGCACAGAAATTCCCAAGCAACACATGCTTCCATAACAGGAAGTCTGCTCTGGGCTGTCAGGGGTTTTCAGTCAAAGGGGATTAGACAGAAGCAATCATAACCACGACTGTTAAAAGGTAAATGTGGACTGTGAGGCAGTGCACACCTGTAATGGGAGGCTGAGGCCAGAGGACTGGCATTAAGGCCAGCCTGGACTATACACCAAGACCTTATCTCAGAAAACCAAATCAAAACAAAAAAAGAAAAAAAGGAAAAGGTAAATGGGACAAAGAGGTATAGGGTGCCCAAGAAGAATGTAGCAAACAGAGTGGCGTTAAGATAATCTTGGTGGGGCACAGAGGCACACAACTGTAATCTCAGCCACTTGGGAGGCAGCCTGGGCCTTTTAATGAAACCCTGTCTCAAAATGTAAAAGGGCTGGAGATGTAGCTCAGCAGTCCCTGGGTTCAATCCCCAGTACCAGGAAAAGAAAATGGCAAGGCAGCCCTGGGCCAGCCCAGTGAAGGATTAGGAGAGTGCTGTCCAATGGGAGGTGAGAGCCCCTGGGTGCTGTGGTGGCCAGGGAGCTGTGACAGGAAGATGGCTGAGGCAGAGGTAGTGACACAGATGCAGCAGCAGCAGAGGACAGAAGTGCCCTGCACAGGACCAGCTACAAATGGTGTGGAATGAAACTGCTGCAAATGACAACACAGGGCATCCTACACACAACCATGACGCGTGTCAGACAGTAACAGCACAGAGTCACCCTGAATGCGGGCCCCGTGCAACTGCCCCCATGTCGAGTACTGGCAGGCTGGCTTTGAGCCGTGGAATGCGCTGGTGGACCAGGTAGGGGCATTAGACACAGTGGACATGGTCACTTGAGTTGGGAGTAGTGGCAGAGGAAGGGCAGCAAATGGACTGGAGACTACAGCTTCCATGGTCCTGGGGAACCTGGCAGGCTCGCTGGCTGCATTCCCAACAGGGCTGGCGATGCCAGGCTAGAGGGCATGAGCAGTGACGGCCCAGCCTCCTCGTGCATGGAGCTTGTGTCTGTGAAGTCACTTACAAACATTTATTTATGACCACAGAACCACTGCTTTTGTGGTCATTTGGAGACATGCAGAGCAGGGGAAAACCAGTTCCTCAATGCTCACGTTCCAACCAAATGCCAAACGAGAGAATATCCTGTCGCACTTTGTATGTGTGTGTATGCGGGGGGAGTTGAGGGTACTGGAGATTGAACCCAGGGTCTTCACACTGACTTACATCTTTAATTTTCTATTTTGAGACAGGGTCTTACTAAATTGTCCATGTGGGGCTTGAACTTTTCAGCCTCCAGCCTTGGCCTCCCAGAGTGCTGGGGTTTCAGGCATGTATCACCATGCTCAACTACATCCTGCCTTCTTGTTTCAGGGTTCTTACTGAGAGCAAGCAAAGATCCTTTTTTTTTGGTACCAGGGATTAAACTCGGGACCTTCCACTTTCGGGGCAGGCAGCAGAACCACTGAGCTAAATCCCCGGCCCAAGACCCTTTTGATAGTCTTAGTATCACTTTTTTGTGTGCTTTTTCTTGGTAAGTTTGTTCTTGGTAAGGCTGTTTCCAAAAGTGGTGATGTACAACTGTAATCCTGGCATTCTGGGAGGTTGAGGCAGGAGGATCACAAATTTGCACCCAGCCTGGGCAACGTAGCAAGACTATCCCAAAATAAAAACAGGCTGGAAATGTAGCTCAGTGCTAAGGCCTTGGGCTCAATCCTTAGTACCACAAAAACAAAACAAAAAAGATGGTTGGATGTGGTGGTGCACACCTGTCATTCCAGCACTTGGGAGGCTGAGGCAATAGGATCCTGAGTTTGGGGCCAGCCTAGGACACATAGTGAGTTCAAGGCCAGCTTGGAATACATAGCAAGACCCTGTCTCCAAAACCAAAGCAAAACAAAACAAAACAAAAGATTCCCAAGCACAGCACTGGAGTCCCTTATGGAGAAACTGCATGCTAGGTAAGCTTCCTTCAGTGAGTTACAGGGCCAGGGCTAAGTTCAATGGGAAGGAATCTACAATATACATCAAATGATGTGTCTGTTGTGGTTGGAGCTAACTCATTCCCAGAAGTCTCGTGTGTACAGAAGTAAGGGGGCTGGAGCACGGGTGTTGTGCTCTTTGGTGGACTGAGTTCATAGCTGAATGTGCTGTTAGGAGGCATTCCTGTCACAGGTGGTGAGCCACTGAGGTGTGCCTTTTTTTTTCTTTTTTTGAGACGGGGGTTCACTATGGAGCTCGGCCTGGACTGGAACTCACAGCGATCCTCCTGCCTCAACCTCCAGAGTGCTGGGATTTTAGGCATGTGTCATCATACCCAACCATCTTTTGTGTTTCGTTTTTGTGCTACTAAGAGGCTGTACCTCTTGGGCTCTTCCTGCCTGCTTTGTTCCTGCCTGCCCCGAGGTGAGCAGCTTTCCTCCACCAGGCCCTGCTGCCAGTAGCCAGCAAGCCATGGACTGAAATTCCGAAACCCTGAGCAAGACATCGCCTCCTCAAGTTGCAGGTGTCAGGAACTTTGTCCCAATGGCAGGAAAGCTGACCAATTCCTTATCTTTAAACAGAGACATACAAAACAGGCTGTGGATTGAGTGATCGACGAGAGGTGACTGCTTCTCCTTACGGGTTTGGTATTCACCAATTCAGTGTTCCTGGGGACTTCTCAACACAACACCCATGAGTGATGAGCATCGGCTATAAAGTAGTGGTTCCTTGTCACAGCTATGACAGGGATGTGTGAGCAAGGTCAGAAAGCTCCTGAGATGAGCTAATTTTTTTTTTGGTACTGGAGATCGAACTCGGGACCTTGCGCTTTTGAGGCAGGTGGCGGAACCACTGAGCTAAATCCCCGGCCCCTAAACTTTTTCTTTTTTGTGGTGCTAGGAGTGGAACCCAGGGCTTCAAGCATGCTAGGAAAGCACTCACCACTAAGTTATGTCCCCAGCTCTCTTTATTCTTTTTGAGACAGGGTCTCGCTATGTAGTTCAGACTGGCCTTAAACTCATTATATAGTCCAGGCTGGCCTCAAACTCAAGGCAATCCTCCTGCCTCAGCTTTCTGAGTGCTGGGATTACAGGTATGCCTGGCCTCCTCTTTATTCTTTATGTTGAGACAGGGTCTCCTTAAATTGGCCAGGCTGGCACTGGACTCCTAACTCTCCTGCCTCAGCCTCCTAGGATTACAGATATGTGCCATCACACTGGGCTGAACTTTCTTTCTTTGGGCCGGGGATTTAGCTCAGTGGTTCTGCCGCCTGCCTCAAAAGCGCAAGGACCCAAGTTCGATCCCCGGTACAAAAAAAAACCAAACAAAAACCTTTCTTTTTTTTTTTTTTGGTAGGTACCAGGGATTGAACTCAGGACCTTGTGCTTTCGAGGCAGGTGGCTGAACCACTGAGCTAAATCCTCGGCCCATTTCTTTCTTTTTTTTGAGACAGGGTCTCACTGTGCAGTTCAGGTTGCTTTCACTGTGTAGCCCAGACTGGCCTTGAACTCAGTGATCCTCCTGTTTCAGCCTCCTGAGTGCTGGGATGACAGGCATGCACCACCACACCAGGCCAATCTGAATTTCTGAGTGCTAAACTATACTGAGTGGTTTTGGGTAAAGGTGGATCTTTCTAGGCTGGGGATATAGCTCAGTGGTGGAGCATTTCCCTAGCAGGCACAGGACCCTGGGTTCCATCCACATCACCAAAGAATTAGAGAAAGGGGGAGTGATTGGGTGTGGTGGTGTGCATGCTTTTAATCCCAGCCCTCTGGAGGCTGAGGCAGGAAGACTGCAAGTTTCAGCCAGTCTGGGCTATGTAGTGAGACCCTGCCTCAAACAACACACACAGAGAAGGCTTCTAGAAATCAAGGGCTAAAGTGCCATCTTTCTTACCTGAAAGACAAACATATGTCTTCCTGCAGAGACAGGGCCGACCAACACAGAGTCCAGGATCTGATCAAACTCCTCACTCTCGGCCGAGCCCACATAAATGATCTTCCACTCCAGGTCTGCAGGGACATTGTGGGGAGGTTAAGGCACTGAAATCCCAACAGCAAGGAGATGGGGCCAGGGGCTTTTTGTGCTAGTTTGGACACATCCTGAGTTTGCGGAGGGAGCTGTGAACTGGGGGAGGGGCGCAGCTCCACTGGCAGAGGACATCTCTCCTGTGGGAGCCCAGCACTGGCTGGCGACCTTGGGGCTGGACCTCTAGGGAAGCTCAGGCCTCTCAGAGGCTGGTGTGAACTGTATGGCAGAAGCTGAATTAAGAGACATGTGACCCAGGCATGCTGTAGAGAAACAGTAGGGAGCTGGGCCACTCCGGGCCCTGCCCACTGGGTGCCGCTGGGATAGGAAGCAGCATCCTCTTTCACACACAGGGACCGGTGCCACTGAGCCGAGATCCCTCGACAACTGGGGCAGGGCAGGGCAGGGCGGCAGATTCCGATCCAGCAGGAGAGCCAGCTAGTCCCCAGGTCGCCCAAATGAGGCACCAAGTCATGCCTACTTATGGACACAAGGTGACAGGGGCTCAGCCAACACTCTAAGGGGCAGCCTCATAAACCTAACTCTGCCTCTCATCCAGGAAAGGGGCCAGCATGAGCATGCACAAAAGGGCCAGAGGAAGGGCTTGCGGGGACCCTCCTGTCAATTACAGATGCTCCCGGCCAATTGTATCACGGGCAAGGTCACGCTGGTACATGGAAGCTTGGCAGGAGATGCGGAACTTATTTTAGGTTCTTTGAAATTACACAACCCACGGCTCCAGCAGCTGGGGGAAGTTTCACAAGCTGTGATTTTCACAGGAAGTAAACTCTTGGAAGCTGCCCTGTCCCTGGGTCCAGCATCACACAAGCATCCAACATTGGAAGCACACTGATACTGGGCCACGACAGCAGAGGGCTGTCACCTGAGCCCCAAGCCCTTCCTCGATACACTGCTTCCTGTCCCTCTGAGGTTTCACCCAGGCCCTTCACTCAGGGACACTAAGTCTTGTGGGATGTGGGTGGCCATTTGGCTCACTGGGGTTTGGTCAAACCCCCAGTATTATGGATTTAGGTTAAAAGTAGTGACACAGTGGGGCATGGTGGTGCACACTTGTAATTCCAGCACTAGGGAGGCTGAGGCAGGAGGATCACCATGAGTTCCAGGCCAGCCTGGGCTACATAGTGAGAACCTATCTCAGAAAACCAAAACCCCAAACAATAACAAACCAAAAACACGTTGGCAAAACTAAACAAAGATCATGTGGATGCCAACAAAAGAGACAATGTACCAAGGAAAATGGGCCATGATGGCTCTTTCAACACCGACCAGAGGGAAGAGAATGAAATGAGAACTACAGACAAGCACCAATTCCAACGTTAGAGGAGCTGACAGATCAGGTACGGATGACAGAATGACTGAAAGTGGGCCTGCACGGGGCTGGGGATTTAGCTCCTGGCTCAAAAATGCAAGGTCAGGAGTTCAATCCCTGGTACCAAAAAAAAAATTAAAAAGGCCTGCAAACTGAAACTGTCTTAAGTTTGCTGAAGTGGCCTAAATGGAGATATATACAGGTTTTATTTCCTTTACTTTACAGCACTGGGGATTGAACTCAGGGCCTCATGCATGCCAGGCAAGTGCTCTACCTCTGAGCTACACACACCCCCTTAAAGAGTTTATTTCTGAATATATTTAACCTTCTGCATGGGTTCAGCCTGCCATGAATGGAAGAGATTTCAGAAAAAAATTATGTTTGGTATGGGAACACACGCCTGTAACTCCAGCTCCTCAGGGGGCTAAGGCTGGAGGACCACAAGTCTAAGGCTAGCCTGCAAAACTTAGCAAGACCTTTTTTCAAAATAAAGAATAAAAAGTGCTGGCTGGGAATGTACATCAGTGGTAGACTGCTTGCCGATCATGCATGAGGCTCTAGATTGATTTTCAGCACTGCAAAAACAAAAACAAGTTAAAATCAAACTCTTTGTGTTAACATGTATGGACTTTATCGCCACTCCCTAAACAATACACAGAATAATGATTTTCATAGCACATATATAGTATTAGGTACATAAGTCATGTGCAGGTGGTGTAGACTCACATGGAGGATGCTCCATGCGAGCACTGCAGCATTTTACAGAGACGTGAGCAGGTGTGGATTTTAGTACCTGAGAGGTCCTGGAACCCATCCTGAGAGAACTGTATTACCTCTCTCAAGACTGGATCCAGGACATCAGTCACTCACACAGCACAAATTCATGTTTACCAGACACAGAACACAACTACACACATGATGTGTGCACTAGCCTTTTTTGTCAAGGTAACTTGACTGTATTACATTTTGTCTGACAGACCCAATTTGTTAGGTACGAAATACACCTCCACTACATATGAAAACGAAATCCAAACCAACACCATGATTATAGAAACTGTCAAGCACTCTGCCACTGAGCTATACTCCTCAGCCTGCTTGCTTTTTTTGTTTTGGTTTATTGAGACAGGGTCCCATTATGTAATTCAGGTTGGCCATGAACTCCTAGTGATCCTCCTGCCTCAGTCTCCCAAGTGCTGGAATTATAGTTGTGTAACACCACACCTGGGTCACTTTTTCTTTCTTTCTTTTTTTTTTCTTTCTTTCTTTCACATATCTAGTAGTCCTCTTTATTGTTTAGCACTCTGCTTTTGCTCATAACAACACAGACAAACCTAGCTCTCACTGGAGCACATTAGCTCTGGGTCAGAACATCTGACTTCTCTGACTTCCTCAGCTTGTGTCTGTTGAGTTTCTTAGCTAAATGGTGGTGGCGGTGGAGGGAACCACACCTAGTGTTTTAAATGTAGACCTGTGCCTCAGGACCAGATGCCAGGAGGAGGGCACAAGGGGGCTTAGGGCCACGGGAGGATGGGGTTACCTGAGTAGGAGTTGGGGGTTTTGTCAGCTCTTCAGTCAACAGTGGCAAGAGGAAGGCACCAAACAGATGCCCTGTACTTTGTGGAAAGGTCAGGAAGGAGAAAGCCAGCTGGCAGGTCCAGCAGGGAGAGCCCTAGGAATGGAACTAGAGCCTAGAACTTTAACCAGAGGTTCCTGAGGTGAAGCTTTCTTGGCTGGGTATAATGAACAATAGTACCCTATTCTTTTTTTTTTTTTTTTTTTTGGAAATAGGGTCTCAGTAGACAGTTCAGGCTATCCTTAACTCACTAGCCTTTACCTTCCAGTGATTCTCTGGCCTCAGCCTCCTGAGTGCTGGAATTACAGGCCTGTGCCACCATGCCTGGCTGTCATTCTGCCTTTCGATGGTGAATTTTTCTGAGGTACTGGGGATTGAATCTAAGGCCTTTGCACTGAGCTGCACCTCCAGCCCTTGTTGAGACAGGGTCTGAGTTGCCCAGGCAGGATTTGAACTTGCGATCCTCCTAAAGTGCTGGGATTACAGGTGTGCACCACCATGCCAGGTGAGGGTGTCTTCATTTGGCAAGAAATTCTAGGGGCCAGGGATTTAGCTCAGTGGTTTCGTCGACTGCTGCGCAAGCGCAAGGACCCAAGTTCGATCCCCAGTACCAAAAAAAAAAAAGAAATTCTATGGTCATTCCTATTCATACTCCACCTCTAAAACAGGAAATGTTGGCTGGAGGTGTAGCTCAGTAGTAGGATCTGTGGCCCTGGGTTTGAGTTCCAGCACCAGAGGAGAAAAATTTTAAAAAAGTAAAAAATAAAATGCGTTCTTGCTTTCTCAGGATCAGAACAAAGATAAAAACCTGGTTTCTGAACTCATGAGACAAACTCTAGTGCCAATATATCTATAAACTGGCTGGGGTGCTTTGGCAAAATCACCATATCTACTAAAAAATGTCCAGAAGGTTGACTGGAGCCTTTCTGCTCTGATTCTATAAATAAGGAATAAAAGTACTAGGTTATGACCGTGCAACCATTTTTAAATGCAAGGAGCACAAACAGGCTGCCTGAAACCTGATCTCCTGCCATCTGGGAACTGTGAATCCCTTAACCTATTAGCTCCTTACATCTCAGCTTGGCTTTTAAATTAAATCTTATTCCACAGTGTCACTGGACACTTTATATATTTATTTACACCCTGCCTTGTTCCAGAAAGGATTTAACTCTGCTTATTCTATAGTTAGTCACAAGTAGATTTCTTAATTTAAAAGACTGAAAGAATGGGCGGGGATTTAGCTCAGTGGTGCCAGTGCTTGCTGTGCAAGCGCAAGGTCCTGAGTTTGAGCCACCATACCAAAAAAAAAAAAAAGACTGAGAGAAACCAGGCAGCACTCATCACTGGCCCACCCCTGGTCCACACTAATCCAAGCAGCCAGCTTTGGCAGCAACCATTCCTCCGCTAACCGGGAGCCGTAGTTAGCACATCCCAGCTTTAGATTTCCACCTCCTCAGCTGCTATCTCTTATGTTTCAGCCACCAATCCAATCTAATGCAGTACTTCCTCATGAAAGCAGGCCTAGCCTTGGAGTGGTGCCAGAAGTTCCTCAGATGACCTTGGATTTTAAAGGTGTGAAGACTTTTCTTTGAAGGCCTTTTGCTCCTTCTGACTCCTGTCCTCTGAGATGACAGCCATGACCACCCAGCACTGAGGAATAAGTCCCTCTGTGAAAGCACTTTGGGAAAGACACACAGCTGGCCGCAACCTCTTAGCTGACTGTTTGAAACTAGATCGTGACACAGCTCAGCCCAGTCTACCCGCTGCCCAGGCTAGGTCAGCCCATCAAAGTGAGGGAGGTTTGCGTGCAGTTAAGTGAGTTGTAGCCAATGGAAGACTTCGGGAACCGGCAGATGCTCAACTGGCTATGCCACCACTCAGACTTAGGTGTGATCCCTACACACACAGCCGAGGAGGTGGGGAGCTAACCGGAAATGGGGAGACCGAGTCACTCTCCAGGACCGGAGCTACAAGCCCTGCCACCCCTCCCCAGGGTGGGGGGGTCAAGAGTGTGTGGGGTGGGGGACAGACTAAAGAGGGGGCCAGGTCCCCGGTGCGTGCATTAGGCAGATAGCTGCAGCAGTTAGGCGGGACAGCACTGCAGTTGGCTTAGGTATTAGGTGGGTAGGGAGGGGATGGCTGGGGTCAAACAGGGAGATGGGGTGAATGCCATAGGGATGAGAGGTTTTCAGAGAGAAAATGAGGGAATCCGCAAGGGAGCTGGAGCCTCCTACCCTAGGGAAAAAGAGACAAGAATGTCTCATCACAAGGGAAGAGAGAATGCACGGGAAGTGTCCAGGAGAAAACCGGGCGCCGGCGGCTGGCTGGGACTGGGGTCCTGCCACCGGGAAGGCGGGATCGCTTAGGGTCTGCCGGGCCAAAGGAGGTGAAAGGTTCTCTACAGAGGAAGCAGATGCTTAGCAGATGCGAGTAAGTGAGGATGCAGGGGCTCCCCGGGAAAGCCAGTGACTGTATTTGGGGGCGGTCTCCGGGGGGATGGGAGTGTGGCCTCTAAGGCAGGTCGCGCGGACTGACGGAAGCAGGAAGAGAGGATGTCCCGGGGAGATCGGTTGGCCACTGCGACGCTCTCTACCGGGAGAGGCGTCTCCGCGGAGGCCTAGCTCACCGTCCGTCAGGGCCTCACTGCACTCGAAGCTGATCTCGAACCGGAAGGGGCTGTGAAAAGGACTCGGGTTCTCCAGCACCGCCACGTTCAGCACCGACACCTTGGCCATCGCCTCGCCGGGCCGCGGCTGCAGCTGCGGCGGGGCCCACGTCTGCGTCCGGTGACGGCAGGGGCGGGGAAGACAGAAGGGATCAGCAAGGTAGCGTCCCTGAGGAGACGCTGCCGCAGTCTTTCACCGCCGACAAAACTGCGCACCTCGTCCCCGCGCCGCCTTCAAATAGCCGGTCCCGCTCTCCGGCCAATGACCGCCAACGTTCCCGGGCGGCGCGAGCATCCTATCAGCCAATCCTGAAGCGCGGGGCCGAGCGCGCCCAGACTCTGCAGACCAATTAGAGAAGCTCCCTCTTTACGTCGTGCGAGAGAGGCGGGACTATCTCTAGGCTCTTAGCGTGTACGTCAGGAGCCAATCCCTAGCGTCTCCGACTCGGAAGTCCAGGACAGGGGTGGGCGGAGTCAAAGCGCGGAAAGTCTCTTGGCCAATTCCAAGGGTTCCCGCACCGGCATGGCCCGCCTTTCTCCCCGCCCTCCCGGGAGGTGCTTCCCGCAGAGAGCAGCTCCGCTAACTGCCGAGCGGTGGCGCAGAGCGCTCGCTGAAGAGGGCAGGAAGGGAGGTACCCACGGTGATTGGCAAGGGACATCGGGGCGGGGATAAAGTGGGTTTCTGATAGATGATTGGCTTGATTGGCTTCGGGCGAGGAAGGCTTGACTAGCGATTCGCCAAAGAGGAGCGGAAGTTGTGCGTCAGTGGGGTGGGTGTGAGGAGGAAGGAGGAGGGTTGGCGCCCTGGGAGTCAGGCGGCCGGTGAGAATCGCTGGGAACCTCCCGGCGTGATGCTGGAGTCCCACGAGCCCGTCGTGAACGTTGTGAACGTTTATCTGTCCGCAGAAGGTGGACGGAGCAGCGAGGTTGGTTCGAACCCCGCTGTGGTCCGGTCGGGGGACTTCGCGAGGTTTCACGTGGCCGGTGCCGAAGTAAGAGTTGGAGTACGGGGCACCGGGGTTCGAGTCCTGGCCCTGCCCCTGAGTCTGGAAACCGCCCAGTGGAAAACACTCAGAGCCACACACCTGGCATTATAGTTGTTGGTAATCACATTGGTATTTTTTTTCTGGGGGGGCGCCTTTTTGTTTTATATCGCGGATCGAACTCAAGACCTTGGGTTTGCAAGGCAAGCGTGGCACCACTGAGCTAAATTCCTGGCCCAAGGATCAGCATTTTAAAAAGTAAAGAGCCGGGTATTGTGGCACATGCCGGTAATCCCAGCACTCAGGAGGCTGAGGCAAAAAAACCAAAAGAAATAAAAATGTAAAGAGCCAGGCATGATACTGTATGCCTATAATCTCAGTACTAGGGAGACTGAGGCAGGAGGATCACTGAGTTTAAGGCCAGCCTGAGCTTCGTAGGGAGACCCTGGCTCAAAAAACTAACAAAGTAGGCCGGTGATTTAGCTCAGTGGTTTCGCAGCCTGCTGTGCAAGCACAAGGACCCAAGTTCGATCCCCGGTACCAAAAAAACCACAAAACCCTAACAAAGTAATAGTTGGCTGCACACATCTGTCACCTAGCACTCTTGAGAGGCTGAGGCAGAAGGATTGAAAGTTGGAGCACAACCTGGACAATTTAGTGATTTAGTGAGACCCTGTCTCAAAAATTAAAAAGAGATGAGGATGTAGTTCAGTACAAAGGCCCAGAGTTCAATCCCCAGTACTAAAAAACAAAAATCCTCAAAATAAAAAACCCGAGATATTTTATATCCTTTTCCCCAGTGGGAAGTCTTCCAGATCCTGCATAATCTATGATTGTGCATATAAATCTCCACCTTTTTTTTTGGTACCAGGGATCAAACTCGGGACCTTGCACTTGCAAGGCAGGCAGGTACCACTGAGCCAAATCCCTGGCTCTCCACTTTCATTTTTTAACAAAATTTTTTGAGACAGGTTCTCGCTATAGAGTCCAGGCTGGCTTCAAAGTCATGGAGCTCCACCTACCTCAGCCTCCCAAGTGCTGGGCATCACAGGTGGGTGCCACCTGTGTGCATTTTGCCCAGCTAGAATCTCCACTTTCATTGGAAATAGTTGACCTGGTTTCTTAGGCTTCCGAAAATCTGCAGTTGAAAATGTCAGCTGTTGCAAGTATGTTCCCAATACATGAGCTCAAGTCGCACACAGGTTTTTTACAGTTTGAATTTGAATTAAATACAATTGAAAATTCCATTTTTTCAGTGGCATTTAATTAGAATGAAGTACAATTGAAAGTCCCATTTTACTGTTGTACTAGCCTCAGCCACAAGCCCCTATGACAAGTGGCTACTGTGTTGTGGGAGGGAAGATAGGAAACATATAGTCAGGTCACACCCAGGATGAGAACTCTGCCCACAGAGTTCTGCCTACACACTGTTTCCTATTAGCCACTCAGCCCCAACTTCAAACTAGCTGAAGTAACCTCTTTTCTGTACAGATTTATCAGGCAACTCCCAGTGTAAAGCCTTTGCCCAAGTCCTTCCAGTGTGATGCCGTACACCTGTCGTCCTAGCACTTGGGAGACTGAGGCAGGAAGATCTCCATGAGTTCAAGGCCTTGTGAGTTCAAAGCCAGCCTGGACTGCATAGCAAGACCCTGTTTCAAAAAGGCACAGATGGAAACTTCTTGCAGCTCTTGGCATGGCTGCTGCCTTGTCATTTGGCCTCTCTGTTCCAAGATCCCATTCTCAGCCTTCCTCTGGGTCCCCCTGAGCCCTGTCCTGATCTGAGCCACCCTGTCTCTCACCTGGTCACCTCTGTGGCTTTACTAGTTTTAAGACCTTTCTGTGCCAGGCATTTTTTTTTTTTTTTTGTATTTACATTTCTCATTAAGTTTAAAAGACTTTCAGCTGTTAAAAAAACCTTTTTCTTTTGCAATAGGCTGAAAGAAAATTCACATTTATAATTGGCTTGATTTCTTAGCAATCTTAGACATACTTGGAAATTTTTGTGATCAAGGCAATCTATTCTCAAGTAGGATTTGACTATGAGTATTAAATTTAATGATGAATGAAATTGTCATAGTATGTTTTTTAGACATTTAAACATTCATTCTAACCAGGTGTGGTGGTACACACCTGTGATGGCAGCCTCAGGAGGCTGAGGCAGGAGGGTCTCTGAGTTTGAGGCCAGACTGAGCTACATAGACCCTATCTTTAAAAAACAAAACAAGGGACCAGGGATTTAGCTTAGTGGTTCTACCGCCTGCCACGAAAGTGCAAGGTCCCGAGTTCAATCTCCGGTACTAAGAAAACAAAACCAAACCTATAATCCCAGCACTAGGGAAGCTGAGGCAGAAGGATCTCCGTGAGTTCAAGGCCAGCCTGGGGTACATAGCAAGACCCTGGCTCAGCTCCCCCCCCACCAAATTATTCATTGTAACTTTGTAGTTTTCCTTTTGCATTATGGAATTTCCCCCCCTTTATCCTCAGCTCCAGCCTTTTATACCACCAGAAAAGTTTATCAGCCCAAGCATTCTATGTTTGGTACTGTCCATAGTGCATTCTTCATACAACTAGCTAAAATCTTCAGTTGTAAACCAGTCATGTCATTACTCTGCTTAAAACCTTCAAGGCTTATCCTACTTAGGAAATCTAAGATCTTTACTGTGGCTTGGAGGCCCTGCTTGGTGGCCTTGGCTCACCTCTCAGCCCTGGTTTTGTCTCCTCCTTCTGTCACCACTCAGCCCTGCTGTCCTTACCTCCACTCTATCAGCACACAGGTTCCTTCCTGCTGCAGAGCTTTGCAGCTGCTGTCCCTTCTGCCTAGAATGTCCCTTCCCTCCCTCATGGTTCAGCTCACATGTCCCTCATAGAGGCCATTCCAGGTGACCATGTTTCTTTATAGTTTTTTTCAGACAAAGTTTTCTGTGTAGCCCAAGCTGGCCTGAACTTGTGATCCTCCTGCTTCAGCCTCCTGAGTGCTGGGATGGCAGGTGTGCACCACCATGCCTAGCTAGTATTACTGTTCTTAAGTACTGCTGGAGGTATGTGTGTCCACTAGAAGGCACAAGGAACACCATAGCCAGATACCCCTTTACTCATTGCCAGGTTAAGAGGAAAAACATTAGGGTACTGTTATAGGGTTTCATCTATCCCTATATCAAAGCCCTTTCTCTCCACTTTTCCTCATGTGTAACTCCCAACTTAGCGTTGGCTTTGGTGTGTGTATTGTATATCTCTTATATGTGTGTGTTATGGCTTGTATTTATGTGTGTTTTGTTGGGTTTTTTTTGGTACCGGGGATCAAACTCGGGACCTTACGCTTGCGAGGCAGGCGCCAGAACCACTGAGCTAAATCTTGTATTTAGATGTCCCATTTCCTAGCCCCAAGCCTCATGCACTCACAGGTGGGGCTTTTTGCAGATGGCTGCATTTAGGGAGTATGAATATGGATTAAGGGTGTAATAACTAAATCAGTCCACTGATTGGTTTAGCATTGTTGTGGGTGTGGGTGGCACCACCCAATAGGCTTGTAGCCTGGATGGGATAAAAGGGAAAGTGGAGCTCACTGCTTCCTGCCTCCTCCCCTCCCTGCCATGGACTATTTCTCCTCTGATACCCTTCTGCCATGCTGCCCCACATTGGAGGCCAACTATGGACTGAAGCCTCTACAAACTGTGAGCCAAAATAAACCTTTCCTTCTTTAACCTGTGGGTGTCAAGTATTTTGTCCCAGCAATGAGGAAAGTAACTAAGGGGATGTCTTCAGATAATGCATGGTATTGTTGGCTGCATCCTGTAATTTTATGTAAATGATGTTGGTGCCCACAAGGCTGAACACAGCAGGCCTGAAGCTGCTCTTTAAAGGCCTGTGTTCAAGGTTGGCCCAGCCTGCTATCTGGGGTCTCAGATTTCAGCAGCGTCCCTGCCATTCTCTGGCAGCACCTCCCCTAAACTGGTTGTACAGACCCTGTGGTTTCTCTTGACTCCTGTGTTCCTTCTGGAATCAAGTTTTGGTGCACAGTCAGCCCTAATAAATACCCTGGCCGCTGAGCCGCTAATGGCCTTCCTCCTCTATTTCCTACATCCTGCAGGGCTCCACGAAGGAGGACTAGGGGACACTAGTGCCTGGTGTCCCTCAGACTTCAGCCCACCCACCCTCTGTGCTGAAATAAACAGAAGCTGTGCATGTGCCTGAGCCCTTCTAATCAGCCACACAGCTCAGGGTGGTCTTGGTGACCATGGTCGTCTTGGGGAGCCCTGATGTGCTGTGATACTGGCTTCATTCTGATA